CCTCAAATTGATTACCAAGATCTATTAATTTACATCTTATATGTTTCTTCACCTTTAAGACAGTTTTGAAAATGTATAAATACATGAAGTTCCTTACTGGTTTCTTCACCTGCAGTAGCCGCCTAATTGCTTTGTCCGCTACTCCTTCCCCAACTCCATCCGTCACATTCCTGCCAGAAAGAATTTTTTTCAAAAATTAAAGATCTTAAGTTTCAGATCTGAAATTGCAGATGGGTCCCCCCTCTTAGTTAACTACTGTTGAATACCAACCCTCTCCACAATTTAGCGGCTTCAAGCAGCTATGAGTTATTATTTCTCAGGATTCTGGGGGTTGGCCTGGCTCATGAAGGTGACTGATCTTTAGGTACTAAGAATGAAAATAGTTGTATGAAGTCAAAAGAGATCTAAAAACAGGCCCTTATTGGTCATTACAGTTCCATAACATAAAACAAGGAGCTCCACTGGGGTCTCCCTTAGTATAGTATCATGTTCTATATTCTATTCATTACTGTTGTTTCAAAATCTCATTTGTTAGACGAGTCTTCTATGCCCTTGTAAAAGAGCATTATTTTAGAAATTGGAAAATGTAAGCTCTGTGGCAGTGTCAGTGGGTCTGTGTCATTGGTTAATTTATTTAAACCTCTGATGGTTATTAATGATGATTATGCTTTTTAAAATTATGAAATGCTTTTTTAGCTATAAAATGGAATAATTTCTTCCTCTGCTTGAGAATGTTTTCTAATTTTACATGTAAAAGCATCTCTCAGCAATATGTTACATATTTAATGAGATAATTTCTCATTGTCTTTAAAGCTCTACAAGGACAGATTGTTCAATTCAAACTCTCAGACATTGGAGAAGGGATTAGAGAAGTAACTGTTAAAGAATGGTAAGCTATTCTGAAAAAAAAAAAAGTAAGTAAATGTTAAAATAACTAGAGTAAAAGTAAGTAGGAATCTATTTAAATTGAGAAACTTCTTTCTGTAACATATAATGCTTTTTTTTTAATGCAATAAGGTAAAACTAGTTTGTGTTGCCAATATGCTGGTGATACAATTCATACTTCCTGGTATTTTATTTGATGTGATTTATGAAGGATTATTTTTCCCTCTTTTTAAAAACTCCTTTCACTGGCCACCCTTCATTTCACTAAAAGAAATTAACCTTTAAAAGATTACTTTTGTCGGTGTTCTTGTAGCTTTTATGGAGGAGCAGAATTCCAGAAGGCCTTACTCCACCATTCTGGAAGTAAAGGTCCATGTATGTACTTTTAAGCCTAGTTTCTATGTCATGGGTGATGTTTAAATATGGACTAAGAACTGGTTAAAACAGGAAAATAAGGAATAAGAATGACTGAACAATTACCTTAATGAAGAATTGATGGTAATAAATTATAAATGTGCTAGATGCATCAATAATGTCATTAGTACCAAAATGATATGTAATATTTCAGATTTGGACCCATTGCCTCTGTCTGTTTGCTATGCTAAGACTATCTAGGGGAACTTTGTAAAGCATACCTAAATGATTATGGGGATAGAGCGATTGATATACAAGGACAGGCTAAATAATTCTAGTCAAAAGACTGAACGAACTCAAACCAAAATTCATACAATTAAAGCAGATGTGTATAGGGAATATCAATTTTTTAATTTAATTCTAGAAATAATAGGCATCCCTTAAAGTTTGATAAAAGCTAATAAGACAGTAAAAGGAAAAAACACATTTAAAATACATTTTTAGAACTTCTTCTAAAGAATGGGTGGGACAGAAAAACCTGAAAGTTTAATTAAATTTTTAGATTATAGATCTATGAATGGTTATTAACATTTTAGTATTTCTTGGAGATACATTCAAAGAGATTCTGGACGCTATTATAGTCTTTTCTGGAACATTCTTCAGTGTACCATCTGGAACTAATTGCTGGGCTATATGGATACTGGTCTAATTCAGTGTGGCATTTGTCTTTTTCTTTTAGGTTTGTAAAAGAAGGAGATACAGTGTCTCAGTTTGATAGCATCTGTGAAGTTCAAAGTGATAAAGCTTCTGTTACTATCACCAGTCGTTATGATGGCGTAATTAAAAAACTGTATTATAATCTAGACGATATTGCCTATGTGGGGAAGCCATTAGTAGACATAGAAACAGAAGCTTTAAAAGGTACTGTAAATGTGTTTATTTTGCCAATTGATTACTACTGCCCTTTTGTCATTGGGTACCAACTAAAAATGATGTTTACTTTTAATAACCTACAGGATTTTATTTGGGAGTTTAGAAGCTGAAATCAGAAAAATAGAAAAGTTCCTTTGTGATGCAGGATTATCTTTTTTTTTTAGCTGAGCCATCCTGCCACCTGTTGGCAGCTCAGCGGCAGCTCAGTTCAGGCCGGACTCAAACCGCTGTTGCTCAGAGCTCTTAACCAACTGAGCCACTCAGGCGGCCTGAGGATTATCTTTTGACAGTAACAATTATATGGAGGCCCGGCTTCTGGAAACCTTAGGGTTCAAAGAGGCAACAAGCTCTCTCAGGAATTAAAGACTCAGGCCTTGAACGCTGGTCACTAATAACAAATATTAAATCTAATATAATGGGATTGCCCTGTTTGCCACTGATACAAAAACAAAAAAGCACTCTCATCAGTGATGCTTCTGAAAGCCAAACTTCTTGAATAGAAGTAGAAGAGAGAAGAAGGAAAATAAAAATGAAAAGTAGAGACTAGCATTCAGAAGAAACAGCCACCTTGACTTACAAGCAGTACCTGCCCTGACAAAAGGGAATTCGTTATGAGAAAGTTACAGAGGGAACTAAAATGGTAGGCTGTTCCATTGGTGGCACACAGCTGGTTCTATGCCCCAGAAGGTGCTTACAACCTCGCTGTGATACACCAAAGTTATGTCATCAAGGAAACAGCTTTGATGTCAGGGGCTGGGA